TACGTTAGCGAGTCTTTCGAACCCAAGTTCGGTCATGAACTTGCCCAAGTAGATTGCTTCCTTGGCCAGCTTCGGTTGGTACCCATATATTCCGCCTCGGTGGTAGACAATGCCACTGTGGCTTGCTTCTTCGATTCCCACGATACGGGTCCGCCTGATAGGATGAATGAGAATCCGGTATACGAATGCCTATCGTCAGGGCAGTTTGCCCAATCAGCATCAACGAATCCTCTCAGATTCATGTCTTCTCGTTGGTATACTATCGAGTGATCGATGGTGCCCTTCAGGTACCTAAGTACTCGCTTTGCGGCTGTCCAGTGTTCCTTAGTGTAACAGTTGTTGAACTGTCTAAGTAGCTTACTGCAAAGCTAATTCGGGTCTCGTTCCCAACGATAGATAGGTTAGCGCACCTATAAGCTCCCTATAAGGTAACTTCAGCTCTTCACTAGATGGGCTCTCCGTCGGTTTCCTTAACTTCGTTCCTGGATCAAGTGGAGTGCTTACAGTGTTCGCATCCGCCATGTTGAATCGATCTAGTTTCCAAGATATATGCTCTCTGGCTTAGACTTATCTTGTTTTCCTTGAGTGAAAATTCCATCCCCTAGGCAATGATTAACTGATCCCAGATCTTTCATTTCAAATCTTTCAGATATTTGGCTTTTAGGGACGATATTGCCTTTTTGTCACGTGGCGATAATCAGATCGTCTACATAAGTGACAATTATCATAATGTCTTTCCCTGTTTTACTGGTGAATACACATGGGTCGGACTTAGTTGGATTTGCACCGCATTCACTAAGTGCTGGCTTAGTTTCTGATACCAGCTCCGACCGGCTTGCTTCAGGCCGTATAGTGACTTCCTAAGTAGACATACTTTATCACCTTTTCCCAGTGTGTTCAAGGTATCTCGATCGAGCCTTCTTTCTGGTAGCCTCGTTGTATTTGGAGTTATCACAAATAATCTTCAATGATTCATCCAAATATTCGGGGGTTTCCATGTAAATCGTCTCATCTAGACTTCCATTAAGTATGCGCAGGTAACATCCATTGCTGCATGTCCATATTTAAATGTGCTGCTAGGGCAGATACAAGTCTTATGGAGCTAAGCCTTGCTACAGGGGCAAAGTCTCGTTGAAATGTGTTCCGGCTTTTGCTAAATCCCCGAGCGACTAGTCTTGCCTTCCTCCTTTCGATAGTTCCATCAGGCTTGTACTTGTTTTCAGGACAATACGGCTTCCAACGATGTGCTGGTACATGGTCGGTCGATTAATTCCCAAGTACCATTCTTCAAGATAGATGCCACTCGTCTGCCATCGCCTTGTGCCATTCGTCAGCTCCTCGCCTCTGACTGCTGATGCATCGGGACCTCGGACAGTAATACCTCTTCAGAAGAGAGTGCTGAACCTCTCGGGGGTGTCCTGTACCTGTATATCTTTCCTAGGTCTTCCCCTCGAACCAGTTCGCCGAATTCTGGGTCTCCCGCGGGCACGCCTGGGTGGCTCAGAATCGTGATCAACCTCGGGCTCTTCTTGTTCCGTTGTAGGAGATTCATGTTCTGGATTTTCGTTCTCGACAACTGGGGATAGCTGTACCTCGATAGTATGCATCTCAGATTCATTCTCCTTGGATGATCCTTCCAGAATAAAATCTGTCCATTCTTGGCATGTGACTTCTGCGTTTTCCAAGAACTTAACATCCCTCGTGATTACGAATTTATTCTCCTTCGGCAACCAGATCTTGTATCCTTTCGTTTGTTCCGAATACCCGATGAAAATTCCTTCCTTACTCTTGCGTCTAGCTTCCTTGGCCTGATCTTGGTTTAGACAGAAGACCTTGCAACCAAATCTCTGAGATGCGAAACGTCGGGAGTCTTTCCAGTCCACTTTTCGTATGGTGTTAACCCGTTCAGACTTTTGGATGGACATCTGTTCCGCAAATAGTTTGGCCGTGTTGATGGCTTCAGCCCAAAGATCGGAGGTAAGCCGGACTGCATGATTAGACAACGTGCTGTATCCAAGAGAGTGCGGTTCTTCCTCTCCGCTATACCGTTCTGTTCCGGAGTGTAGGGCAAGTCAAGCGACGTGAAATTCCGTGCTTTTTCAGGAGATCCTCCATTTCCTTACATGTGTACTCCGTCCCGTTGTCAGATTGGATGCACTTATCTTTTTGTTCTTTTGGTTTTCGACCAGTGTAATATTTTCCTGAGTCTTTCGCACAACTTCATTTTATGTTTCATGAAGAATACCGTGCAATACCTAGAATAATCATCTATGAATTCGACAAAATATTTGTACTTCGAGTGAGATTCTACTCGCATGGGACCGCAAACATCAGTATGTACGATTTCTAGCATTTCCGATTCCCCGTCGGACTTCTTCGGGAATGTGAACGCGTCATTTTCCGCGTATGCAAATTTCGCAATTAAGTTCCCCATTATTAGGCATATTTTCAATATTATTTCCACCTAATCTTCCTTTCTTCAATGAAGAATTCAAATCCTGAAGTCAAATGTCCTAATCTACGATGCCATAGTTGCATTTTAGAATTCATG